AGAGCAACCATCTGCATGTTTCATGAATATTATGAAATGAAATCATGTTTAGGAGGCAAAAAAGTCAATATTTTCAGATCTGTCAGTTCATCTGTGTTCTAACATTTTTGGCCACCTGTGTGCATGTATATTTGTATATGTGTGTGTAATTTATTTTTATTTTTTTCAAAGATTTGTGGTCGTTAACTGTTTTTAAATATTAAGTAATATGAGACCAATATTGTACAATATTTTTACAATAATGAACTGTTTTCTATTTTAAAATGCAATTTATTCCTGAGGTGTCAAAGCTGAATTTTCAGCAGCTATTACCCAGAAATATTACTTCAGAAAGCATTCTAATATGTTGATTTGCTGCTGATACATTTTTTTTCTGGATTCTTTGATGAATAGTAACATCTTTAACTGTCACTTTTCAACAATTTAATTAATCCTTGTTGACAAAAAAAACTTGCCAACCCCAAACATTTGAACAAAATATAGTGTATATACAAAATATGTGACCCTGGACCTACATCAATAGAAAGCTTATTTATTCAGCTTTCAGATGATGTATACGTCTCAATTTAGAAAAATGTACCCTTATGACTGGTTTTGTGGTCCAGGGTCACATATTTCAAAATATTAAGGAAAATAATAAGTCTTGATATGACTACTTTAAAATTAATAGTGTACATTTAATTGTTTTTGTTTTTTTATGTAGATAAATGGCCAGAAGTTGGACAATCTGTCTCACAGTGCAGCAGTGGAGCTGTTTCGGTCTGCAGGGGAAGATGTGCATCTCCGCGTACAGAAGGGAGTAAGTACTGCAGGCTATGGCAATCGTGATGTTGATAACATCTCTGAGAATTGCCTGTAAATTAATCAGCTTCACTGACATGTGTTTATGTCTACAGCCTGTCATGCAGAACGGCCCCACCAGCTCTCGTGCCGATGGAGAATCTTCATCTGCTTTTGGCACATGGACAATGTATACTGTAGCTGCCCTGGCAGTAATAACAGCAGTAGGTTTCATTGCTTACAAACGCCTTCAGCTGCACCCACGGGGGTCCCGGGGCCCGTTTTAACCCATCACATGATTACATGACATTTTACAGACGAAACCTTTTTTTCTTTTTGTTTTGAACCATTTCTGCTGAGGGCCCAAACATTAACAGGGAGCGAAAATGGAAACCAGTTAATGTTAGCAGAACTTGCAAAATTTCTTTGTTTATACCATGTTATGAACACACACTTGTAGCTATAACAGGTTTTCACAATTCATTTGGTGATAATCATTGGCACTTAACCAGAATACCCAGCATGCCTGATGACATTGCATGGTGGAATAAGGGAACAGGGATGATGAGCACAGTGTTTGGATCAAGAGCTGCAGAAATCTCCATAATCTGAATTAGACAGAGGGACCACAGGCAGGAGACAGAGGCCCACAGAGGAGTGATTTTTCTCATCTTGTACCTCCGGAGCGCTGGAATGAGCCCGAGGTGTGCCATTAGATTTTTTTTTAGGTCTTCTCAGGTACCTGCTTGTGCAAGAGTATGTTTGAAAGCGTGCATGATGTGAATGGAGTTAACTTTCTTTTCATTTTTAATACTTTAATTTCTCACTCATCCAAGTTCAGACATGCAGGATGCATTTCTGTGGCTGCAGTAGTGATGGGGGAAGTGAAGACGTTTGAATTGTTTATTTGGCCTTGTATTTGCTCTTCCTCCATCAGGGGACAAAAACTAGAGGTGGCACTTGTTAGAATTCACAATCAGAATGAAATTGTAATATTGTTGATATTGTATATGGCTTGTGTTTCTGGAATCGTCTCGTCTCGTACACCAATGGTTTTCTGCACTTCTTTCAACTCGTGCCTTGCCACATTGAGCTGCTGGTCTCAGTGCTGCTCCCTGTCTGCAGTTTTAGGGGCGGCAGCTTGTGCTGTTTCTGTAATATCTGTTCTGTAACTGACAAAGTTGTGTTTGTGTTATCATGACAGTTCCTCTCCAGGTCTGTGTGGATGAAACCACGTGTAAATTCTTCATGAAATGCTCATTCACTTTTCACAGTTAGAATAATGTTGCCATTCACATGCATCATGCATACACATTTATGTCTGTGTGCTTCTCAGTAAAATGTGTATATAATAAAAACAATTAAAATGGCTCAAAAGAATGTGGTGACAATTCATCTCTGAGTGCTTTTTTACATTAAGTTGTTTAAATGAAAATTAATTAATCGTAGTGTTTATAAACATTAACCTAAATTGATACATGCTATAAAAATTAAGATTAGTGATGATAAAAACAATTTATGTTTGATAAATGTCTCCATATTTGATTATTTGATGTTACGTGGCTGGATACTTTCCGGACAGCTCTTTGTGTGTGTGTGTATATATATATATATATATATTTGTAAATAAAAATGACAGTAAATGCCAGCCAATTACGTCGACCTGTTCAACTGCTCGTTAATGCAAATATTTAATCAGCCAATCACATGGTAGCAGCTCAATGCATTTAGAAATGTCAAGACAATCAAACTGAGTATCAGAATGGGGAAGAAAAGTGATTTAAGTTACTTTTAATGTGGCATGGTTGTTGGTATGCCACCATAACCATGACTATATTGTCTGCAGATTCAAAATATTTTGTACTGTGAAAAACCTAGAAGCTTTCTTTGGCTCATCAATTTCTTTTGTTAGGGATGGATGAAATGCAGAGAACTCTCTGAATCTCTGTCCCATTCAGATGATTGACTCAGGATAACATGCTGTCTGTGTGAGTGGATGGACTGCTGCTGTCTCTCTGTCTAAATGGATAGACTGCTGTCTCTCTGTCTGCTGTCTGAGAGCGGAAGCAGATGCCTTTGACAGATGAGTACTGGTATGTGCATGTTTGTGTGTGTCAGTGTCTATGTCGGTGTGTGTATTAGTCCTCCTCATCAGAAATCAATACTCTCAAAGGCAGCAGTGGCTGAATGCACTTAAAGTAGGAGAGAGAAACAAAAGAGAATGATAATGCAGTACTTCCTCCAGAGTCTAATATTACATTACAGCACATGGCTGAGACAGAAAGGGTGGTGGCATCAGCATGATTAATGATACAGGCTATTTACAATAAACATTTGGGTTATTTACAACATTTAAAACAAAGGTTGGGGATTCAGTATGGGATATTATAAGATATTATACACATAGGAAGCACATACTATAAACCTAACAGTGCAATTTTGCTCAGACACCATCAATCAAATACTAAACCTGAAGGCAGCCAGCCTCACCATGTTATGGGTTACACGCGTATTGAGCATCAAAGCTAACTCCTATCCTCTCTCTGTCACAAATAAACCATGAGAGTAATGAGCACTATCTCAAATGAGCTCCTACACTGTCAAAAAAAAGGTTAAATTCATGGTAATTGTGGCCAATCAAACATCATAAGCTGACACTAAAATGCAGCAAACATTAAACGACAAAAATACTATTTAAATCCCTCCATTGCGCATAACTGATAGTAAACATAAGAAGAATCTAACATTTTAAATGAACTCTAAACAAACGTGTTTCTGAGACTTCTGGGAATGCGTCTTTAACCCAAAATACAAGGTGATTTATACTTTTATACACTGTTTATGTATATATATAACAGTGTATAAAAGTATAATTCACCTTGTATTTTGGGTTAAAGACGAATAGAAGGATATACATGTTATGTATTTATATATTATATATGTTAAGAAATTATAAGTTCATGCAGACTTTTTACTTCTAAAACCTATGATTTACAGTAAAATCACATGTATTTTCTTTTAAAATATAATTTAATTTGAATGTTTTTTAATGCATTAGCTTTTATGGTAAGTTTAACCGTTTTTCCTGTAGCATTTTACTTTCTTTTTCCATTAAAATCATAAACATTTTTACAGTAGCTACAGTTTATGTTTGTCAGTCATGGCAAGCATATTTTTCGGATGCACATTAAACATAATGTAAGAAGATGTGTATCTCAAAATACAATTAGACCTATAAATAATAATTATGTTCATAAGCAGTAAACACAAAGTTTAGCTCTCGGCGTAGAGAGCAGAATCATGTTATTTGTAGATCGGAATAACGCATCGCCCCCGCCCCGATATAACGCTCGGCGCGGATGGAGCTAGGGGGATGCTGGATGCGCTGCGTACCGATCATGATGATGATGATGTAATAATCGCACGCTCCGCTGGTTCTAGTACACACTAGAATCCTCACGCTCGCGACCCGGCCAGAGTGATGTCATCATCGAACCGTGCTTAGGAATTTTCACCCCGCGTCCGTGCTGTTCAGCGCGGCCTCCATGAGGACAAACCCCGGGACTGCGGCGCTGATGGCTGTTGCGGTCGGGACTGCAGCAAGCTCCCTTCAGCATCACAGCTGCGACCCCTGCGCTCAGACAAGCGGCAAAACCCGTGCCACCGAAACACGAATATCTGGAATGGAATATCTGTCGTTTTAACGGGATTTCAAACTCCGGGTGTGACTGACAGCCAGTCGTTGTGCATCACCGATCATCTGCGCCCTTTTAGGACTTTTTTGGTTAGTGTCTACCCTTGAAAATCGGTGAGATCCGTCTTACTCGGTGCCTGTGCTCTCTCCCCCTCGCGCTTACCGAACACTGTCCGCGCGCTGCGCACCCGGAGGCCACAAGTGCCTGTTTTTCTCCCGCTAGATTCACCATTGATGGAAACAGATGCCCTGTTGCCTTTCCTCGCCCGTTTCTACCTCTGCAGCCGCTGTTTCTCTTTTAGTAACGCGACTAGACCCGCGAGCCCCGCTAAACATCTCACATAATGACTCTTTGATGGATAAAATGACAAGAGCGGATCATTTATATTGTGTTTTGGTCTTTTTGATGTCGGCGTAGCGACTTTGCTGTGTGTTTTTTAATCTTCTCGGGAACCGACACCCGGGTGCGCGAGGAGGGCAGCTGTCTCGAGAGCAATAAACGCCGCTTATTTTAAGGGACCGCGCTTCTCTCTCAGGATGGCAAATGAACCCGTTATTCTTAATGTGTATGACATGGTAAGCTCATTAATCATTTCGTCTTTCATCCTTTACACTGGTTACCGTCAACCTCTCTCCTTCTGGCCCTAATTTTGCATGCAACAACAAATGTTAAGATGAACTATCAATGCATTGATGAAGACTTTAATATCTGGGTGGTCACAGTGTAGTGATAAAGAGTCTGGGCCGCTGACACAGAGGTTTCATTTTGAAAGCACGACTACAAATCTACTTTGCCTAGGTGTGATAGGTGTGATGCTAAGCATTGACAGCAGTATTGATGTGCGAGTCCAGAGCCGAGATGAGAGCGCGTGTGTTTCTCCTCCCGTGCTGGAGGAGGCGCTGTTACTCCATTAAATTAAAACACTTTACAAGTACAGAACACTTGTGGTCACAGATCTATAATATATAAATAAACATATACATACTATACATAAATAGAGGTCAGTGATTTTGTTAGGCCTAATCCTATTTTTTTTTTTAGCTTTTTATTACATACTACTTTTCACAATGTACTAAAATGTCTGTAAATTTTATGCAATATTATGTCATAAAACATCAAGAAAATGACTTAATGAGTACATATAAGTGGACACTGTGGTGCTTATCACTTTATTTTACATTTACATTCAATCAGAAAGGGTGGGGATATGCTAGTATTTTTTTCTGTGTACATTAAATCATGTTCTGCATGTTCTATTATTCATGAAGGGCAGCTGGTGCACTTTTTGGCCTCACACAGACACATTTTCTCTGAATATTCACCCCTCCCCCTCCACTTTAAGGCTTATATTGTATAGTGTGTGTTAGGGTTGTGTAGAATTCATTGATTTTAATGCCTTATAGCTAACAAGATGCTCTATATATAGATATAAAATTTACTATAATTAAAATATGATTATATGAAAATCTCTTTCTCCCGTTTGCTCTTTTAGTACTGGATAAATGAATACACCTCCACTCTGGGTATTGGAGTCTTCCACTCAGGAATAGAGATTTATGGCAGAGGTACAGTGACCAATTAATCTTTTGCTGTTATTTAATTATTTTATGTATTTATTTTTTTTTTCCATCAGACCTCTACTGGAACCTTGGTCCGATTTGTAAAGAACTTGAAAAAGGCTGTGTCAGCTACAATTAGTAGACATGGTAGTTGTTAGACGTTTTGTCTATATATTTAGAAAAAAAATATTATGACAAAATGAGAGTAAAAATAATTACGAAGTGAATTAGCAGCTGAATATGAATGGTCATTATAGCCACATTTAAAGGGATAGTTCACCTTCAGTTTCTGGTCCCCACTGACTTCCATAGTACCATATACTATGTATGTCAATGGGGACCAACTGAAGGTAAACTATCCCTTTAAGTAAGGTCATCACTATCCTTGCTTGTTGCTGTACATGTTTTTATTCATTCAACTCAATCTCTGTATCATCTTTTTGCAATCTGAGCCTTGTTACTAGCAATTAAATGCATTATGTACCCTGTGTTAGCTTTGCAAATGGCTTGACTTCACCTACAAGTGGCAGTGGAGTGTTGTCTGTGTCTTTAGTGATGGAACACAACAGAGGAAGAAACACGCTGTAGCCAATTAGTGAAGCCTCTGATCTGAGTCATAAAGTGACAGAGAACATGCTGTCTTTTTAAACTATTTCTTTCTTTTTTATCCTTTCACACACACACTGCTCAGCAGCATTGATACAGAGCAGGCATAGGCAGCTCTGAAGACTGAGCCATGATTCATTGGGATTTTTAGAGAGCTTTAGCTTCTCACTAATAAAGTGCCGCAGGAATGACATTTTTGTAGGCCAAAGTCCGGAAACGAGTTAGCATTCCGGGTTGATCTGCAAAACAATTGTCGTTACTGCAGTGCTCATACACATTTAAACAAAAAGAAATTGCTCTGTGAGCCTGTCTCTGTAAAACAGGGATTAAACTGTTAAATATAACTATTGTAAGTAATACTGCAAATATTCTAAAGTCAGTATGAAACAGACATTGTGACCATTTTTTCTTCCCTGTTGTAATGTATATCCGATTAAAAAAGCTTCACAAATGACATTTTCCAGACATTATACTTATGAAATTCCTAAGTGACAATCAAAAGATTTTCAAACCCCATTTTAATGTTTGTTATTTTGTTCCCTGTAGAGTTTGCATATGGTGGCCATCCGTATCCCTTCAGTGGCATTTTTGAGATCAACCCTGGAAATGCCTCAGAACTGGGGGAGACTTTCAAATTCAAGTGAGTTTTTCACATATGCACACACATTTAAGCCACAAAAAAAATTAACTCAAAAGTTGTGTTTCTTCTCCAGAGAGGCTATAGCTCTGGGTACGACAGACTTTGCAGAGGAGGACATTGATAAAATAATGGAGGAGTTGGGAAAGGAGTTCAAGGGGAACGCCTACCACCTGATGCACAAAAACTGCAACCATTTTTCTTCTTCGCTGTCTGAGGTCAGTATACTCCCCTTTTTTGATAGGACTGGGCTGTATGCAACTTCACTGACTGGTGACATTCTACATTCCCACCTCATTTTATTCTCTCTTTCTCTGTCTCTAGTTGCTGTGTGGTAGAGAGATCCCACGCTGGGTCAATCGATTGGCATATTTCAGCTCCTGTATTCCATTTCTGCAGAGTTGTCTGCCTAAAGAGTGGCTCACACCCGCCGCGCTCCATATCAGCATGGGCCTTCGGAAGGAGAACACACGCTCACACACACACGATTCCAGCGACGACGAGCCCTCGTCTGCTATGGAGGCGGCCGCTGGAACATCACACAGCTGCAGGCACACCCGCGTGTGATCTTACATATATATTTACACGCAGTATTACACTAATTTGAACACACATACACTCCAACCTCTGATCCTGCTGCTACAGCGCCTCCTGCTGGACTGGATGAACACCAGACCTTGTGGCCTCTCTGAATGAGGAAATCAAAGTCATGTTTTTCAGTAGAGCCTACAGGGATTTAAAAACCTTGCAGTGGTACTCTTAACGTTTTAGAATTGTTTGATTTTTACTAAGATTTTAGGGAAATGAAAACAGTATTTGCCATTTAGTGTTCTCTCTCTTATAAGTACATAGGACAATATGAATGATGGGCGATCATAATGGACTGCCCCCTGCTGGCGTGTAACAACACTACACTACAGGCCCCTTCCTCATAAATCCTGAACTTTTTTCTTTTAATGTTTTCCAGATTTAGCCGAGTTTGCTGTGTATTAAATTCTTTTCTATTTTGTGATGGAATAAGCGTGTCATCTGAAGAAGAACTTACATTCCTAACCTTATTTTTTTTTCCTCAGTGACTTTAATAATATTAATCTGCTTTAATTTAATTATATGATGTCAAACTAATGTCATCTTTGGTTTACATTCATTTAATTTGAGTTCTCTTTTTATATTTTAGTGCAAGGCTTGCAATTAATTTACACTAAAAAGGGCAGATGACACCACTGACAGCAGTTGGAAATTGCAGCCTTATAACGGTAAGCCATTGATATGCTGGAAACAAAAGACCCTTGTTGTTCAGTCATCGAGGACACAAAGGGGCCATTTGTGAGGGTGATGTTGAGGGGGTGGGTGGGAACGTGTGAGTGGGGTCTGCACATCAGGTCTGGTATCAGTACTGTACAACAGTTTTGTGATTGAATGCAATGTCTGAGTGATTAAGAGAAAGGGAGTGTTGCAAAGGTGTTAATGGTCATCTCTCTTGACTTTAGTAATTGTGGTTTCTGGCTTTTAAAAGTGCAGACTGAAAAAAAGTAATGTTGTTGTTGAAATGAGTCATCCGCACCTCACTACATTACTTTTGCACAATTTTTTGCCCTGGTTTTCAGTCTGGAGTAGGCGACGGTAGTTCCCAAAAGTAAGATTTCACAAAAAATAGTGTATGATGGACACAGACCCGATTTTTTATTATGAGTATGATTCCATCCAGTCGGAGGATCAAAAATGTTTGAGTTGCATTCGGCATGACTTGTGGCAATGACTTTAGTGTAGGATGCCCAGTTTTTCTCTGTAACCATTTAGAAAGCCGGCAAGCGTATAATGTGTGGTGTTTTAAAATCTGTTCCGATTTTAATTTTTGTAATTTAAGGCCACACCTAAAGGTTGTAAGGTCTTTCTAGTCTTCAGCCAATAGTCCTTAGTAAAGTAAAGGTTGACACCATATCTAATTTTTCACAAATGAAAATAAAACTGGGAGAGATGTACAGATTATTCAATAGGTTGATTGTCTTATGGTCCTAGGGGCAATTTTCATGTTTTACACACAAATTTTATTAAAAAAAAAAAAAAGCATATTTTCAGTATTTTGTCAGTTGGATCAGCAGCAAAGTTAAAAATATTTCAGTGTTCATTTGTAAAATATTAAATATGGTGTATACCCAGACTATGGTCCATATCAGAGTAAATAATACATCTCTCAGTATTATTTTGACCTTCTGTACCATTTTGCCTGTCAGAATCCTCTCTAGAAGCTCATCTTCTCCTCTGTCTCTCAGGATGGCATGGTATTGTAGATGGCAACACGGGTGTTTCATGAGTCAAATCTATAGGGAATATGTTTTTGGTGACATATTTATACAATTTTATATTTGGGATATGATTACTGTTATTTTGTCAAAGATATTATCAACATGTAGAGCCTAATTCTTATGATGCTGTTTTTGTTTTATTTCGTCTGAGGCCACAACTGAGATCTTTTACTAGTTCAGCAAAGAAATTAATTCATACGTAATACCAAGAGTATTCTCATGTGGCTTCTGATAAGATCAGCGGAAAAGATAACTAAGTTAGATCATGTGACGTCTTCAGTTTGCAAACTGGATCAATCCAGTTCCAACTGTGTAAACCGAGCTCAAATGATAAAAGTATTAAGTCTAGCAATTAAATGTATTCCAACACTTTATTCGATAAAAGAGTGTAACTTGAATACTCATATAATAAATCGTGAAAAAAAACGTTTTAAATGTTTTTACGTCCGTATGCACGAGCCTCGCCCGCCATTACCATCCCCCTTGCGCGTGAACACGCATATAAATACTTCTGCGCGCGGCCGCGTTCCCCAGTCTCGAGGCCAACGCCATTTTGTCCTGTAAGCAGAGGTAAGAAGATGAAGCTGATTTCGTAAAGATACACTTTGTTTAAGATGTATTGTTAGTTTAGTGTTGTATTTGAGCTTTGTTAATGCGAATCGAGTTCATTTTAACGACATTTTGTCCGTTATTATGGTTTAACATCGAGTATAGCCTATCTAACGTATCTGCGCAAGCTGACTAACGTTAGGCCTCGGCAGCACGTTTGATCCGTGGTCATTTAGTCGTGGTATATTTTCTCAAAACTGGCTTAAGTTTAATTTTTACTTACTTAAAGGTATTCGTGATTTATAGCAACACTGGGGTTTTTGGCAATGTAAAGGTGTTCGTTATATAATAATTTTGTGATTATCAATTCAGTGGTTCCGCAGAGTCAACAGGCGGTAACGTACGTTAGATGTTTTTGTTTAAAGCGTTTTTAGAAACGATTTTTTTTGTTTTACATTAACTGAAGGATCCACGTGTTGCAGAAAACCATATTTGTCATTGCAATTTTAAAATAAAATTTTTGTAAAATGTTGTAATTTTACTAATGTTTTTCTATGTTGTCGGATGTTCAATAATAATTTGTGGACCGACTGGACTGGATAAATGTTTACCCAGTGTTATACCGTGTGTGACCAACAGGCGCACAGATGCTTTTTTCCTATAGTTCAAAGTGCATGTTTGCCAGACTGTTAACAGTATAACATTAACCGTATTTTGACTCTTTCC